TTTACTCAGGCCGAGAAGGAGCAGGAGCTGCTGGGGGAGACCAAAGCCGAGCAGCAAGTGGCCGCTGGACTTCGAATCCGAGAGCTGGCGCTCCGAGCAGGTGCGGTTGGCTCCGAGCATCGGCTCCGAATCCGTCGGTATCGATCAGGGATGAAAGGGGTGAATCGCAAGACAGGGTGCCGTCCAAATCAATTTTGGTCACTTCGAACATGGATGAACATGGACCAAAAGTCTGCGGTTGCCTGGTTCTTCGACTCTTCTTTGGAGCCAGTTCGCCAACAGTGTTTTCGACTCTGGAGAAGAGAACTGAGAAGGCCTAACTCCAGCACCACTCGATGGAGGCTTTGAGAATGAGCATCTTCCAAGCTCATAGCTGGTAACAGCTACTCCGATGCTTTTTGTGCTCCCTGTGTTGAGGTGAGGAAGATCTTCTGGCCACGCTCCGAAAACGTGACCATGCCATGCAGAAGCAGGAGAAAGAGGTGGGGGTTCCAACACAACTTGCACTTGTTTCTGATGTTTCTTTGGGTCCCCTCCCAAAAAAGAAGCTAAGTTGTGTGAGTGGAAAGCCGCAGTCAGAGTGTCAGAGTGTGCATTGTGCGTTTCAAGCAAGCTGAGCGTAGCAAGCAATGGATTTGGGTTGTAGTGATATGTTCCCTTTATGAGATTCTCTTGAGGGCAGCCATAGCATACCATAGCCATTTCTGGGTACACTTGTCATTGGACTTGACTTTCATTCGCAGGTGCAAGCCATGGAGTCGTCTGCAGAAGCGATGAGGGAACGGGCCCAGCACCGGGCGGAGGAGTTAGCTGAGCGCCTACAGGAACGAGCACAAGAGTTGTCCTTTGCAGCCGAAGCGCGGGAGAACCATCTGGCGGAACGAGAAAGGGAGCTGAATTCCGTGGTCACAGAGCAGTTGGAAGCTATGGAGGACCTGAAGAAGCTGCGGAGTGATTTTCACAAGGCAGAAACGGCCGCTGCAACCCTGGAAGCCGACCTGATCCACCAAGAAGTGAGCAATCGAGTTCTTGTTCTTGAAGCCAAATCTCGAGATACGCAATTAGGCTTTGTCGTTGGTGGCTTTGATTCTGGTCAATTGATTGTGAGCAAGGTGCTGCACGGCTCATGGGCTGAGCAAAAGGGCCTGAAAGAAGGAGATGAACTTACAGGGATTGATGGTAAAGACGTGAAGGAATTAAAGGAACCAGAGATTTTGGAGTCTCTGCAATCGCGAAGGCCTTTGAAGATCACCTTCCTCAACCCAGACAAAGGTCAAGCGCTTTCGCAGTCTACTCTGTCTACTCAGGCAGCTGCAAAGCCACGCCCTGTGCCAGCGCCAAGCCCTGCCATGCAAGAGGGTGCTGAGAACGAGTTCTGGCAGCCGACAGAGAAGCAGGCAATGGCTTGCAGGGTGCAGTCGCCGGAACACCCTTTTTGTGCCTTTTGGTACCTAGTTCCAGAGAAAAGCTGGTAAGCAGAGCAAGGCCAAGGACAGTCAAGATTGTAGCAAGGCGTGATGCAAAGACACACTTCAAAGTCTTCAAACCTAATGCAAGGATGGGAGATGGATTTGACTGGATCTCTCTCTCCTTTAAAGTTCAGGGTATTTGTGGAAGGCGTTGTGGAAACCTCAAATTAATCACCCCCACAAAGTTCCGTGGCAGCACGTTGAACTTCCTTGATTGAAAAAGGAAGGACACCAGACCAGGTCCCCAAATCACTGGGGATGTCGGAATTCAGTACTGTTCTGAACGTGCTCTTCCTTCCCGTCAATTCCCCTTCCAGAGGTTTTCTAACGGGCATGAGACTCGTCTTAACTTCATGAGGCGCGAGTTCACGTGATGAGGCCGAGTCCTTTGAGCTGCTCGCAGATGAATCGGTGAAGCAGTTGGGTCTTGATCTCACTGGGGTTGGAAGCTCAGCGGGCCATGGGGTCCCTGGAGCGCCATGGGGATCACCCACGCTCCATTGGTTGGATTTGGGTGACCTGTTGGCCGGGGGGATCGGATATGGCATAAAGCCTTCTCTTCTACATAGCTCTTGAAAGAGGCCCTTGCCACAAAGCTAATTTCTCATGAAGCTGGCACAAGAACTCCATCCAAATCTGTGTGGATTTTGACCCATAAAGCCACAAGACGCAAGTGCGTGTCCGGCCATGAGTTTCAAACGCCAAAGGATTCAGAAGAGGTGAAACCACTGGCTCTAAAAGAGCTTGTTTTTTTCAGTCTCAACGAACCTATGGGCCAACGAAGTTTCCTTCGGTCATTCAGCTTCTTGGAGCCCAGCTGTGTTCGTCGTTCGCTATTTTGCTCAAAAACGCCGCTCTTGCCATGACAGATGGATGAGCACGGCTCCGAGAAGCAGGTGTGAACTGCGTGAAGGGGATTGTGGCCGAAGCTAAGCGACTGCTGAATGGCTGGTCGGTTGATTAATGGGTTGAGGTTTGAAGAGTAAGGTGTATATATATATATATAGATGACTCTCACATGAAGTGGACCAGGAGCATTTGACCTTTTGGAGCATGCGTTTAGACCCAAACCTAGTGGGCTGAACTGCGGGCCAATCCTCTCGGTCAATTGGCATTATAATCTACCTTTTTTAATGGTTTCTATGGACCACAATTTTTTAAACCGTGTTTTGGCGTTTAAAGACAATATCAGCTAATCTTTTAGTCAGTGTTTGATTTGTTTTTGTCTATTGTTTTCATTCTATTTCATTTTAGTTTAATCAATGGGTTCAATAATATCTGACCTCCAACAATTGATTCACAATTTTATTTTTTCTTGTCTCCCAGATTAACCCGTAGCCCACCAATGAATATTATTGTTTGTGCTTTTTCCTCTCTTACAACTGCATTAGTTTTGTACCTTCACTTTTAACAATTTCATTTAATCTACAGTATTTCTTTCTTGTGGTTCATGAATCTTCCAACTGTTGGTTCACAGATAATCCACTTACATTCATTGGAGGAACTCCTCTGTTTTTTGTGCTTTTTAATCTACAGCATTAATATGATGATTCCTATTTGCATTTTAATGATATCGTTTATGATATAGTTGGAGGAAAAAAAACATTTTTCTGACTTCCAGAATCCAACTGTCCTTAATATTTTCACCTGGCTTTCATTCTTTCTGTCCATTCTTACCTTTCATTATTAGATCTTGGATGACAGAAATATAATCCACAGATAAATAAACCATTGATGATTTTAATACGGTGATATATGGACCTTCTTCACTAACAAAAACAATAGATATATAGATAAAATGAATATAAAGCTCCAAGAAGAAGGTAATAGTTCCAATAGTATAAAAGCAGTATTTTCCAACAATGAACCATATCATAACCTCATCATTCCTTATTTAATGGTAAGTGACACCTTCCAACAATGAAACATATCATATCCTCATCATTCGTTATTTTCAATTGGTGTTTTCGTACACCAACAATAGTTTTGTGTAAACTTTAGTATATTATTGGAAATTCATCTATTTTGTGCAACCTTAAACTAGAACAAGATCATTCCTACAGATTCGGCCAGGGCATTTTTCTCCTTCATGGAAGCCGAACCGCGACGGGCATCCAGTGTGGCACTTAGTCCTGAAGATCAGAAGTTTTGGGATTGAAGAAGTGGTACTTGTGCTGCTCACTGCTGCCAATTGGTAGTATACGTAAAATGTAGCAGACCGGTGTGTTTGAAAGCCTTTTGTGTTGGTCACGAAAGCCAGCCGACAGGCTAGGCTTGAGTTGTCGATGGGCGAACGAATGTGTGGGGGGGGTGGTGGTCGCAAACCCGGTCCCGCCGGGTAGGGTGAACCTAGAGCCTGGTGGCGGTCCGGAAAGTAGTGAACATGTATGTTTTAGGGGGTCTTGGTGACGCGAGTGATGCAAATGATGCTGAATAGTGCATCATCAGCATCATGAAGTGCTCAGGAAACTACTTGGACTGTCTATTGACTAGGGGCGGGGGTTTGGATAGAGGACCCCCGAAGAGCTCAGTAGGGGTGAGGGGACATAGGAAGTGCAAGAAAAGAGGCATCCCACACTGAGCGAGCTCACCAGGCTAGCCAGGTGTGTCCATCCAGTTAGAGAAGCGGTGAGACTTGTGCAAGCCAGAAGCTATTCCTGATAGAGATAGCGATCACAGACAAAGGATGTAGAACACTGCTCACTTAGTGCCGCGCGTTCCAACATGACTGTAGCGACTTGCACGATCCGAATCATGGGGCGGATGCGAAATGCTTGTGGGGCTCCGTCATGCGTGTGAAAGAAGCTCACAGAAGCGCTGCATCGCTACAAGTAAAAGGCCATCGCTGCTGGGAAAGACGGGCATTAGTACTACTAGCTGGAAGCTACAAGACACAGAAAGGACTGCATCCACATGATTCATTCTTTGAACACACAGCTCGCCTAAAAGACCCAGAATTTGTCCGTCCGATGCAAGACATGAGAAACAAACAGCAGGCAAGCGCCCCACTTAAGGGTGCCCTTTTTCAGCTTGAAAACGCCCCTCAACCAGAAGAAAAAGGGCACCCGCGGACCTGTGAATGTCCTGCTCAATTCAACCTTTATCCCCTGGACTGTAAATGTCCTGCTCAATTCAACCTTTCTTTAAGCACATGGGCTCCACTTCTATCCCATAACCGCTAGTAGTGCACAAACCTTGAGCAAAAACTTGTGTATAACAGCCTACCATATCGACCCTCAATGCGAGACTTTGCGCCTGTCTGCCTTCAATTTCCCCGTGCCTAACAGCAGTAGAGGTCAGTGCAATGTCAACTTCACCCCAAAATTCGAATTCACCCCATAACCACACTGATGTCTTGTTACGGAGGCTGGCTTTCGTCCCCTCCCTCTCAGGTTATCTAGTGAAACTAGTGGTGTATGTTATATGCAAAGTTCTCGTAGATGTTCATCTCAAATTGCTGCTGGTTTGCCAATGGCTACTCGTAAGGCTGATCTATGAGCTGGCCAAAACTGGAAGAACAAGCTATGCCATTTGGGATGCGAGCGTACCTGGAGGCCACAGTTCTGCAGGGGGCCTTGTGGTTTTTCAATCAAGGGTCAAAGGGTCTCTTCCAAGGATTGTTTTGGGCCCCACATGCAGACCACTACTGTTGGCCAGGACCCGTGGTGGAGACGAGAAAACCGACCTACTCGTGGAAGCACACACCGCAACAAACAGGCGACATGGAGAAGGCTCGGGCTTTTGAGATCAACAAAACCATGATATCCTGATGCTTGAGATTGCGGGTTGCTTACGTGCTACACCTGTCCATGTTACTTTGCAGAGGTTTTGGTGTTTCTCATGTGAACATTGTCCCACCCCAAGGTCTTGTGCAAGTTGAAGGATCAAGAAGACATCGGCGATGAACACGTCATTAGTACTGTATCAGATTCTTTTGGTCACCAGGACCCGCAAAATATGCTGAGCGAGCAAGTGTTTGCCCTTCATCTTTGTACCGAGAAGGTTGTGAATTTTGAGCAGGAAATGGAAGAAGATGTGCTACTTGAGTCCATGGAGGAAGGTGCAATTGAGACTCGGAAGTCCCTCAGATTCCTTCGACTGGTGCATCAGCTTGTTACCTCCTCCGTTGGTGCTCTCGTGTATATCCTGCCTCACACAGAATCAGCGGACAGTGCTTGCTTGCGGGCTGCTGCACACAAAACTGCTCGGATTGCTGATCAGCATCCTCTACGACATCATGATGGTGTGCCATGCACTTTCGCACTTCATCCACAGCAGGGATGCCCAGAGGCCAATGCTGCACTCATTTATTCTTGGCTAAGTGAGCTTGTAGCTACCCCTCGACAGCAGTGGAGTCTTAGGGCTGGCGTTGTGGTGCCACTTGCGGCATGAACAATCGACGAGCTGACATGACCGACGAGCGCGGTCAGCGAATCACCGTGATGGATGCGGAACAACGACGAGCTGCGGCCAGCTGGAGAGACAGAAAGGAGAGATTTGGAATGAGGTGAATGCCAAGAGGCAAAAGTTGGCCGGCTCCGAATGCTGCTGTAATTTTGTGTATTTATATATATAGATAGATATATAGAGACATACTATCTCGAATCTGTTTGCTAGGCAAAGTTTCAATCAAAACCTTTCAACATCGTTTCTTCTGCTTTGAGCTCCTGTATGGTCAGACTTCTGCGGTAGGCCAAGGCGCTGTTCGATTGAAGTTGGTGCATTTGCTCGCGTGCAACCCTTTTCTGATTTCACATGCTATCTTTGCTTCACCTCCGGTTGACAGACGCAAGTCACGCTCTGCACTTCCGTGTTGGATGAGCTGTTGCGATTCTCAGTAGCTTGGACAATTGAAAGACGTATATTAGGTTGGAGGTATTAACTTTCACGAGCCTATGCTTCAGGAGGCTCTAATTTTTCCATAAGCGTGCGGAAGGTTTGTGGGAGGTTCTTCAAGTTCACTTGCACATGAAAGTGCTGTATCACCTTTTCTCACCGGGTTTTGGTGGTGACGTTGAAGGGTACTTGGTACTTGTATAAAGCACCTCAGTTGTGGTCGTGCTTCCTGCCTTGGAAATCCCCAATCCTGCCTAGGTTTCAATCCTGGTCTCTCATGAAACACTTCATGAGCAATGGAAGCCTCCAAGTTCCATGATCAGCGTGAAGTCGAAAAAAATGTAAAAGCGGTGCCATGATTGAACAACTGAAAGTGGATAACTCCCCATCGACAATGGAGAACTCTCCATCGACTGGCCATCAATGGATAAATTCTCCATGGACAGGCTGTAGGATGAGCCGATATTCTTGGAGAGCGGTCTTGGGCTGAACATGCTAGGCTGAAAGTGTGAGAAGTCCAAGTCGAACACTTCGATATCCCGCACGTCAGCATGTACGCAGGTGTAGTATTGTGGGGTCAAGCCATCAGCGTTTGCTCCCTTTTTTGGTTTCATGCTCAAGTTTTGCAGAGCGCTTGAGCTTTCCTCTTCTGCAGCCCACCCATTGCTGTGCCCCGCCGGGATACCACCACGATTTTTGCAAGTTGACTCTCAGGCGTACCAAAGGGGATGGCTGGCTTCACTTAGCACGACGCCTTGATCTGTTCATGCACCTGGATAACACGTCAACCCACGGTCACTGCGGAGGAGTGTGAGATAGCGGTTACAAGAATGTTTTTTCCACGGACTGGTGGTAGATGGATAATTTCTCCATACACTGGTGGTGGATGGAGAGTCCTCCATCAACTGGCCATGGATGGAGAATTTATCAATGGACGGGTGGTAGATGGAGAATTCTCCATCCACCAAATTTCAGGCAGCGTGCAAGAGGTTTTTTTGAACCAAATATGCACGCAGAAGGTTTTTCTATTCGCACGCTTCTTAAATTTTGGTAGACGGAGAATTCTCCATTGACAACGGAAATGTTGGGGCCAAAAACCCTAGCCCTGCTCCTAAACCCGCAAAAAACGCATAAAAACGCTAGCCCTGTTCCTAACCCCTAACTGGGTTGGCATTTCATTGATGCCGAAAAACTGAAATCATGAAAAGAACATAAAAGAACCCTTGAACGCTTGGTTTTGACCCTTCAATGCAAACAATGGTTGAACAATGACCGCCAAAGGTTCTGAGGCCGCATCCAAGGGTCAGGAGAGAAAGGCGTACGGGAGTCACGGGGGGAGAAGATACATTGGCCTTTCTTGCCAACCCAGTTAGGGGTTAGGAACAGGGACGCTCCAATTTTCAACATTCACGCTTGCACGCTTCCTGCTTCCATTCCCCAGTTACTCGCGAAAGTTAATAGGTTGGAGGCCATCGTTATTCATAAAGAATGATTCCATGATTCAACAAAAAGCCTGAAATCCAAGATACAAGCATGCAAAGTGCTGAGTAGTTGGTCCGGCATACAAATCGTCGGGGTACCCTTTCATCAGGTCTGTTCGATGGTGCTTAACAGAGTCCTTCAGGCCAAACCAACAGCATCTCGAAGGTTTGCAACAGAAAGGATCAACAAGTCCAAGTTTTCCAACATGGCACAGTCACAATCTTCCTGCAAGTTTCTGAAAGGGTGTTCATGGCTTCTTCTGCATCACGCGGCCTTTTCGGCTGGAAAGAAAAAGCCGACCGACTCGGTGCTCACCGTGCTCATCAAGTCGAAGGCCATGTCTGTCTTGGAGGTGCTGCGAAAGCTCAGTATCTCAAGAAACCAGGCAGAGGAGCCTCAGCCAAAGGAGACGTTCCGATTTTGAATCAATCTCAAAGGAGAGTTTCATGTCAATCCCAAAGGAACGTTTCTTTCATGCCTACGACCGACAAAACCCATGCCGTCAAAAAGAAAGTGGCATCAGCTCGTGTGTCTGAAGAACATGTTGCATGATTGTGCTTTTGAAAACATGAAAACAGGGAATGCTGTTTCTTTCTGATACAACCCCCAAACTTGGTCCTTTTTCTGGGTGTCCTCCGTTTGGGTCCTGGATCCTCCCTTTGGGCAACTCATGTTGTTCTGAGGAATCTTGGGCAGTCCTTCAAGAAGAGGGCCTGGAGTCCCTGGTGGACCTGCGACACAGCTGGGCCAACGCTCGAGATCGACGCTGGGAGTTGCGTGGCAACATGGTGGAGGTCCTAAATGGAGTCCATGATCATCACCATTGAATTCACTGATCATGGACTCCATGATAAACCTATTCAAATCATCATGCATTTAGGGCAGTTTCGGAGAAAGTAGACGTTGCTTGTGGCATTTCAGGCACTTTAGGCCCGTCTCATTCCTGGGCTTTCAGGCCGCTTTTGTGATGAAGGGCCGCCGGTGGACACGTCCGGTGGACACGTCCCATGTTCTTGATGTAAGAAAATCATCCGGGCACAGTGGGTTACTACAGATGGCGGGTTGGATGAGATTGGATGTGTTGCATATCCTCACGGTGGCAGACCTAGCCACTCTTGTTGAGATCAAGGCGTTTACGTCTCCCGCGCAACGTCAAGGATGAGCTCATGTGGGGAGCCCAGCCGAGCTTCACAGCCTAGTGGTGCTATGGGAGCAAGATTTGGATTCAAGAGTCAGATGAAATCCCCTCAATAAGTCCGATGAACACAAGGGTCTTGCAACTTCTGACACCTACTTTCGTTGAAAGATCTTTCAGACTGTCTCAGAGTGCAGCAAATCAGTGGAGTTGCGATCTTGAGGACCTATTTCGAGGGGGAGATGGGACTCACTTATGGCAAGATCCAGGTCCCACCGAAAGAGCTCTGTGTGGCGGCAGGCGGGATCGAAACTCTCAATAGAGCTTCGGTCATGGCTTGTGTATCGGAATTACTGTAAGAAGTGATCAAGATGAAAGTGAGATGAACTTGTTTGCATAGGTCTGTTTCCAGATAGCTGTGGACTTCCGCAAATTCCCCAGGCCCAGGCTTCACTATGAGCACCCTTGGTGGACAAGGGCTAGCAGCATGGCGTGCGAACTGAGCCTAGCACAGATCTTGGTCGTGGCTCCTTTCAGCTGTTTTCGTGGCGAGGTGCACTCCACCCTAGTAGCGATGGCCTGCAAGCTAGTAGTTCTTGTTATGGAACTGACATCCCTAGTAGACCAAGATGGTGATCCTCTCTTTCCAAGATGGAGGGGCCACAATTCCAGATCTTCCGTTTCCAGACCTGAGAGAGAAAAGACGCGAGCGGCTGGGACTTGGAGTTGAATCAGTCGGGCAAGCCCGGACAGTGTTTTGCACGGTTGATTCGATCGAATCAGGTGCCTCCTTCATCCGTACGCATCAAGCAAGCTGGACACTCAGTGAACCGTTTCTATCTTTCACCCGACCAAGTGGCAAAACTTGGTAAAGTTCTACTACACATTTGTAAAGTTCTTTTACATCAGGCTGACCAGTGATAGCTGCGGAAGTGGTCGTAGTCGCAATGATCGTGCGAGTGGTTGTCACCGCTTTTGTGTTCTTGCGTCGCAGTGGCTGTTGCTTGTTCAGATGAAGCGACTTCCAAGTTCATGAAGCTATTGCTGAGCAGGTCCTGCCGGACTCTTGGGCAGACAGCAAGGGCGTCAATGCAGGAGATGAACTTGTTGGACTCTCAGTGCCACGCCAAAGGAAAACTGAGCATGGTAGTGTGATGCCAAAGTCTCGGTTGAAAGTGCACATGATGGCACATGATGACAAAGGTGATGGTGAACGGCAGCCTTACCTCTGCCCTGACCCAGAGCCAGATTGGAACTGCGCTGCGCCATCGACCCTTGCGTATCACTATGATGAGAAGCAGCAGCAAAATCAGAAGGAGCAGCACAGTGAGCAGTAAAGTGCCGGAAGGAGAGCTTGTCTCCGTGGAAGCCACTCAATCAGATGAGCGCTTGGGCTTCAAACCAGCTGGCAAACCTCCTGGGCGGGTCTACATTGAGAAGCTCTTCCCGAAGAGCTGGGCTGAAAAGCAAGGTTTGCTCTTGAACGACGTCTTAGAAGAAGTCAATGGTCAGAAGTTAACCGAGATCAGCCAAGAGGAATTGGATCGCCTCATCAAACTCCGGCCGCTCAAGATGCTCTTCCGCCGGTCGGCTTCTTCTCATGCCACGCGCGGGAGCACGACCGCTACGAGCACAGCAGCGGCGGCCTTGCAAACATTGAAGGTGAGGGATCTGAGGTGATTTGAAGCACTGATACCTATGCGTATAGGGACATATAGGGACAACTAATGCCAATACCCTTTACTAATACCCTTTACATGGGGTCTTGAGGTGAAGCGAAGGCCTGGCACTGTGAGCCCACGGGCAGCGAATGATTTGTGACGAAGGATTGCTGAGAGAAGACACCGAACAGGGCATGTCGTCCAGTTCTATTTTTTGTAGGTGGCTGAAGCTGGTGGTTGGAGCTTTAACAGCTACGAGCTCCACTGACCATCTTGCTTGCTTAAGCCGCATGAACTTCTCCAGGTGGCCTCGAAGCTTAAGCCGAAGCCCAAAGCAATAGCTGCTGCACCTGCCGGACCCCTGCGCCCAAGCGTAGATTTAGAGGCTCGAAGTCGACTTGTCCAAGCTGTACATGTCCCATAGATGCCGAAGTTTGTTTGCAGACGCGAGTTCGCAAGAAGGCCCTGTAAGAACTGTGACGATGCCAACCTGAGAAGGTTTTGGTGTTGAGTGACTTCCCAATTACATGTGTAGACTGGCAGAATATGGCGACCCTCTTGTCACTTTCTCCCACTAATCCGTTCTGTGACAGTTGCCGGCGGGTGAGAAGCAGCTTGGCTTCGTTCCTTGGGGACTCCCACCAGCGCGAGTGATGGTTCGACAGGTGCGGCTTGTTTCCTGCAGTGAACGCCCTTGTTTCCGTTGGACGGACTTTCTGGGAAAGGAAGTGAAGTTCTTTTTGGACTTCATGGATTGCAGCGAAGTGCATCCAAATGATTTGATGGACTTTTCGGGGAAAGGCAGAGTTTGTTATTTTTTGGTTGGACCGACTTTGAGACATTCTCCGACCTTCGAAGATGGCGACCTTTCCTGGTCTGTCGACCCCGTCTAACGTCGACCTGAAACATATATCTAGCCGAGGTTTTAAGGCCAGGTTAATGAAGATCGATAGCCAACTGTAAACACACTTACTTCTCCTCTCAAAAAAGCATGAGTCCAGCTAGTATGGGTTTGCCTGGTTTTGGCCCAAGCTTCTGGCAGGTGACGGGCTCCTTGGCACAAAAGGCAAGGTCGGCAGTGTGACAAGGTCACTGGTAACCTGTGTTTGCAAATGTGCTCATTTGCTGGTTGGCCCACTGGTCCTTGCACACCCTTAGTTTATGCACACCTTTTGTTTGAAGCAAGCACCTGGGACTTTTGGAATTCCAGTGACACCTTGCATCAAGGATCATCAAGGAAGGTTGGCAGATGGTATTGCTGGTTGCACGTGTGGACCCTTTGAAGGCCTTCCTCCAAGCTGGCCATGAACTGGTGGAAGTGAACGGTGTGAATGTCAGGGACATTCCACGTTCGGAGTTGGAAAGGCCGGAGTCCTGGACAGACCATGTAGCCTGGACGCGTCCTGGACCGCGTTTCCTCTCCAATTTCAAGCCGAGAAAGTCCATGCTAAGATGCTCTTGCCTCAAATTGCAGGACACTTCTGACTAGGCCACTGAAGCTCCACTTTGTGGCGAGTGAAGATGCTGGTGTTGCCCGGCTTTTTGGAAAACTGTTGAGCTGTTTGGGATACACTTTTGCTGAAGCATCAGCAACATGTTGCCCCCATCATATTGAGGCCTTTGCTGTACCAGCAGCTCGAGATGCTGAAATTGAAGATGAAGAGGCTAGCCTCTTTGCACACTCATGCAAACAGGGGACACGCGCACTGGTGTGTTTTCACACCTCGGTAGCGGACCTGATGGGTTTCGGAGTTCCGGGCCAGGGCCGTCAGCTTTGCAGGTGCAAGCTGGGATCTTGGACCTTGTGGCCACCCCGGCGAATGAACACCTCGGCTTTGAAACGTCCGGGACACAGAAGTCTGGTGAGGTTGGCTGGATGAAGAAGTGCCATGAACATTGAAAGCTTTGTTCTCTTTGTGTCGCTGTGGAGATAGACGTTGGACGCTTTAGGACGAATGAAAGAAGAACCGGTGGAATGGGCCTGTGCATTTCTGCTTTGAGAGTTACTAAGCTGAGAAAAGCTAGGGCTAGGGCAAGCTACGGGACCACATCACAGAAGAATTTGCAGGCAGATGAGAAGCTGGAATCTCTCCTGTTTGATACGATGAACTCATGTAAGATGCGTGGAAAATCACAGGAATGAACGAATACTTACTCTTCAGATACAGTTGCGTGACAGTCCATCCAGATCCATGTTCGGTTGAGCAGCCGGTCGACTGGAGTAGGATCCGGTCGATCCCAAGGAGAAAGATCATCAGTGATCTGTGCAGTGTTCTTTCCCCAAATGGTTTACTGCTGGGTTTCTCTCTTAGCAAAGAAGACTGGCCTATGGAGTTTTTTGTCCCGATTCGATTAAGTTGCAGCAGGGGCGAATCGTCCCGTGTGTGCCGTGCCCTGAGGACCAGCAGTTTGAGCTTCAACGCCGTGGAGGTTGCAAAAGTCTCCTCTGGCAGCTGGGCGCAGCGCATGCGGATCAGGAGCCGAAGCGGGATGGGTGGACATTTATATAGGTACATGAGATAGATAGGATAGGTCACACACTGATCCACTTGGATTAGAGAGTTGTTTGCTGCTGCAGAATCATGCTTTTCTGTATCAATCTCCTTCAGACTTTGGAGATGTGTTTGTCAAACAGTCTTGGCAGGATTGGCGATCACTTTCTCTCGTCCGGGATCCAGAGAGTCGCGAAAAGCAGTCAAACAGGAGACTTATATAATCCTCTTTGCAAGGATTGATGGTACTCCAGTGGGGTCCTATGCCGGCGCATCGTTGAATGAGGCGCCCTTTTGTCGACAAAAAACCGCAACACCCTGCCGCTGTCTTTGAGTCACTGGAATTTGAAAGGCCATTAAGAGTCGGACGCGACCAATGCACGAATCTCAGAAGTGTTGTCTTTCGAAGCTGGAGCTTCTTCAGAACGACTGGGTGAGAATAGAGGGCATGCATCCAATACCCACGACATGATTGGGTTTCTGAACTTCTTGGTTGATTGCTGCACTCACCACCAGCTTGGGAACGCCGAGGCGCTTGCGCTTCCGCCGGCAAGGAGGGACGCGTGCTGTGGGGGCTCTGGGGTTGGACACTTCACGTCAATGACGTAAAAGGCAAAGTTGTAGCAGATACTGATGATGTACAATCTTGCCGTTGCTGATGATGTGAGTTAGCCAGCTTTCTTTCAGGACAGAACGTGGTGGACGAGGACGGATGGGGTTGTCAGTGGCTTGTGCATAGGGGTTTGGAGTGGAACCCATCAAGGGGTGGATGTTCTTCCAAATGGATCAAACAAATCATGTTCAACAATATATATATATAGGGTATATAAGTTCAGATGTTCAGTGAGGCATTGGACATGTCCAGTTTCACCCATACAGATATTCAATTTACATTGAGGCACTCCAATGGGCCCAGGACCAGCGGCGATTGGATGTGCTCGCCACCGAGGCCGGCTGTTTGAAGTTGATCTTGGCTCCAAGAAGCGCTGAGATGAAAAGGATCTGAAGGACTCAAGGAGGTGATTCTTCAGCTTTGATCTATTTCGGATTTTGGATCCTTAGCCATGTGGGCTTTGCCCTGATCCACATGGCGCTTCACGGACTCGGAGCCGTCGTGGGCCCAGGCAGATACGGAGTTGGGATTTTTGATGAGCGGGCAGCCGCCCAGCGAGGTCATCGTGTCCAAGGTGCGAAAGACGACTCTCCGGTGCGAAAGAAGCGAGCCGAACGCAGCAACGAACGGGCATCGCTACGTTCGTAAGGGGGGGCATTGCTACTAGTAGCAAACAATAGCAAATAGCTACCAGTAACAAGAAGCAACAGACCTGGCCGTGCAGACCTTTTCTCTCAAATCTTGTCCATTTCTACAGTGATTCTCTGGCATATGCACATTTTCTTCATTCATGCTGTATATATTCTACTAAAACGATGCCGGATGCCTGCAAATCCCTTTAAGCAGACAACAGAAATAACCATTGCACAGTACGGAGCGATCGATCTTGGATACATTTGGATACCATCACCCAGCTGCGATGCAGGTGATTCCAGGAAGTTGGGCCGCACAACGTGGACTTCAGGCGAGGAGAATCACATGTTAAGATATGATAAGACATGTGCAGCATGGTGTTTAGATATGCGAATTTGACATTAATTTTTGGGAACCACAGAGTAGTTTTTTGGACAGCTAGCAGCGCTCAGGAGAAGGATGAGTTGGTGGCAGTGGCAGGACAACCCACCAGCAGTTTGAGTGGTGCTGGGCTGATGCGATATTTGCAGTCAGCGGGCAGCCCAGCCATTTGCGTTGGCCAAACAAAGAGCGTCCAAGTAGGAGAAATTTTTCAACTTCCGTGCTTTGTTCAAGCAAGTGTAGACCTGCTCTTATGCTTGGTAAAACTCCTCGATTACCAGCTTTTGTGCCACGTCCCCACTACGTGCTTCGACCAGGTCCGGCCTTTACGTTTGCGCTTTCACTTGGCGCCAGGTGGGCCGTTGCCACCCAGCACCTTGGCAAAAGGTGGATGGAAACCTCTTTGAATGGGAGTATGACAGGATCCCCAACTTGCCCAGCGACTCCTGAAAGTAGATGAACTTCTTAGCGAGTCCTGTAGTTTCTCTTTGCTCCTTGTGAGTTGCTGTGACTCCGTGTTTCTTCAAGGACCAAAGCCCAAAGCCGAAGCGAAGCCGGAGCCCAAGGTGGAGCCACCAGAGCCTGAAGTGCCTTGGTCGCTCCAGGAAGACTATCCTTGTGTGGGCGGGTTTTTGCGTGCGTTTTTCGGGGCGACATGGATACATGAAAGAGATAGGGACTGCACCTCCGGGAGTGCCAGGAAGAATGCAACGAGACAAGTCTGATTTTTTTCCCGTAAACCAGAATCTTCACGAAAAGTTGATGGACCACATTCTCAGGTCGAATCACCCTATTCTTTTTGGCATGGATCGATTAATGATCTTTTTTCACGTGAGAATAATTTATTACTCAAGAACAAAAGGCCCAGACGACGCCCTCGGTTGGAGGCCATTGAGCACGTGGGAGGCCATTACTAGTAGTGGCAAGAAGCTACTAGTGACAAAAAGCTACTAGTAGCTCCTGGTAGTAGTTACTAGGAACCAGAAGCTACGAACGGTGCTCCTGGCATCGCTGGTAGAGGCTGCTCGTAGCTAAGTGCATGACTCGAAACATCCGTTTGCTGTTCGATCCCAGGCGACGCCCAAGGCTCGGGTCGTTGGCGCTCCGGTCACGTGGCGCTCGGGTCGTTCGCGAGTCGCTCGGGTCACGTGGCGCCGTTCAGGCCAAAGCCAAAGGTCGTTTGGGCCGTGCAAAGCTGGCGCAGATGCTGGTGGGTGACATGATGAAGGCCTGGTGGGTCCGACAGTCTGAAAGTATCCATCGCACCATCCGAAGTCTTCTCCTTGTCCCAAGAATTGGTGCGAGACCGAGACCGACTCAGGTTGTGGCTTGGAGTGTTGGGAGTATTCTTTGAACTGGGTCGATGAAGGGTGGTCGTCAGTAAGATCGATCAGTCACTCAATGCTGGCCTATCCTCACTGACAAAATCTACGAAGCACTCCGGAGACCGGTGAGCCGCGCACGGCACAGGCCAAGACTCAAGAAGAGGAGGCACGGGTACATCGCAATTTGTTGAGGACACACTTTCCCTCAGACTCCCAAACCACCCTGGCAAAAGCTGCAGACCGTGGACGCTGACAAACCTTTGTTTCGGCAGGTGCCCACGAGTCCCCAGTCGCCGCCTTCGCCAGTGGCACCAGCGCCGCCCGTGTCGCCGGCGGCACCGGTGAAGAAGGCGCCGGCGCCCACGAGCCCCAAGGCTCCTGCGCCGTCGGCGCCCGCAGTGGTAGCAAAAGCAGTGGTCACTCCAGCGAAGCCCAAGGCAGGGGTGGCTGGGTTCAAAGGGGTTCAACATGGGAGTTGGAGCCCTTCAAAGGATTTCATCATTCGTTCTTCTTCACCATTCATTGAGAAGATGACTTGTATTTTTTTGAAGCCCTGAGACCCGTTTGAGGCGGTGGTGAAAGTTGGTGCTCGACCATCAGAAAGGCCGGGTCTTCGACCTGGTGTTGCCCAGGAGACCAGCTAGGGCTAGGGGATTTGGGCTGGATGCGAGTGATACGGAGCGCTAGAGAGATCGGACTGGTTCCCTTTTCTGAACTTGCAGGAGGATTCATCCAGCGATGATGATGCCATGGTTGAGTTGTCTGCTAGCGTGCAGGCGAGGCCCTGGTCATTGGTCATGGCGCTTGTGGGTGGACATCCAGAAATGGCCATAGAGCCAGCAGCAGAGCAGCAGAGCTGTTCCCAACTTGCTTTGAGCAACAACGAGTCCACCAGACTGGTAGGTGAAGGACAAGCAAACCCTTGAAGCATATGCACCTTGAGCATCACTTCATTTGGAGTCCTCCGCCCCAACTGGGTCGGAGCTGTCACAGGACAAGGACTTGGGCTTTGATGTCGCGCAGCGAAGCGGATCAACGTCATCCCGTCGAGCTTGCGTTGAGAGTTGAATGACTCGAAGGTCTTGATGGGCGGTGATTGATGTCCATGACTTGTAAGCATGTCGTAGTCGTAGTTGTGACCAATAAAATAAACGCGACGAATTGTTAGTGGTGTCTGAGGATGCATAGCTTGAACCGCAGATGCAAGGCACAACTCCAATTGCCAATGGTGCAGTTGTTCCATTCCTTCGCCGGGGAATGGCTCTAATTCGAGCCAGAGCAATCGCGGCAGCTTCTCATTGTAGAGATTTGAGTTTATGCACCTCCCCCAACACCTTGGCCGCCTTGGCCTTGACACCGAACTGCCTTTGGACCTCCTTTGCAGCCGCCTGCGGTGTCCTCGACCCGTCCTCGGCGGCACCGGGGGCACCGGGTTGGGGCACCGGTGGGCTGGGCAGAGAGATGGTGATGCTCCGACGGTCGACGTCTTTCGCATCAAATCTGATGATTCAGAAGCTGTTGATTGCTTGAGGGCCTGAAGGAGAGAGAGGAGAGGAGATGAGGAAAGGAAGGATCATAATGCAGCTGACCCATAAGGTTACTTTGCCCTTCACCCTTGCAAGTTGTTGAATAGATTTGACCCAAGTGCAAGACGACATGGAGGCCGCGAGAGAAGCCTGCAACAAGGCGGGCCATGCATTGTGCAAATGGCGACCTCCTGGGATCTTGTCCAGAAATCTAAGCAATGGACAACCCTGCAGCGTTCCAAAAGGTGTGAGCTTGCCCTCCTCCCAACTGGTGAACTTGAAGCGTTTAGTCTCGACTGAGCCGACCATTTTCCGACCGATCATACGTGCCTAGGTCAGCATGAACTTGACTCTACAAGGTGCACGAAGATTTGCTTGAGGTCATCGACACACGTTCAGATAGTGGAAAACTACACTTTGTAAGTTTGGTTTCCAGAAGCGGATGCCTGACTTCGACTTACCTACGTTTGAAGCACCTGGTCATTCTGTTTTAACCTTTGCCAATGGACTCCAACTTGGTGCCACGCCGCAACTCAAGCGCCACAATCCAGAGTGTATGACTATCCTTGAGATGTCAACTAACTATGACCATCCCGATGGAAGAAGGAATGACTCTCAGATGTCGATGATGACCATCCTTCAGATGTGATGCCAAATACGACCATCACTCAGATGTCGACTATGACTCTCTCTCTCTCTCTCTCTCTGTCTCTCTCTCAGATGTCGACTACAACTCGCCCTCAGATGTCGACTACGACCATCGTTCAGATGTGAATGATATACAGTATACAGTATATATGTATATATATATATAAATACATATATATATATATGTTAGAGAGACGTTCCGCATTTA